CATTTGAAAATATCCAGTGCAAAATTGAAATTGAAAATCAGGAAAGTCTGTATTTTCCACTGAAGTTAAATGAAATTGACGCTGTAGATGACCAGATCAGATCAGGGTGTTTGCTTGGCAAACAAAAAAGAACACCTTGAAGCCACTAGCAATTATAAAAATGCCAGACTAAATCAGTTTTTAAAAGTCAAAGCATTGAGTCTATTTTAATAGATGCCACCAGGCTATTCCGGATAAATTCTTATTAGATAAGGGTGAGTCCCTAAGATCAAGGAATTTTTTTAGGGATTGGTGAATTATCTGATTTTTCTATGTGTAAAAGGAATGAGACTAAAAGCCCTGGAGGCACAGTCTTGTATCTAGTCTTTGGAATAGACAGAGTTCTCTTGCTGCCCTGTTTATGTACTTGAACTTTAACTGAAAAGATGAAAGAAGAGCTTCATCTGCATTTGTACAGCAGAGAGACTAATGACTGAACAACAGCTAAAGTGAGCTTTTTCACAGAAATACATTTTTAAGTTGAAAGAAAATAACTTGCTAGTCTCACCACTTCACTTTTAATCTTTCCTTAATATTTCCTTATATCTTAAGCAGAAAATCCTTGTGGGAAGCTGTTCAGTACATTGTATATGAGTTGGATACAGGACAAGAAATGTCTTCTTTAGTCTCTGACTGACACACAGGGATGATTTTTAAGTACACCTTCCACAGACATGATGCTTTTTCCTTCTTGCACTGTGTGGCAACTGTCAAAAACATGGAGGGTCCAGGACTACAAAGAAGGTCATTTGTAATGAGGAGAGAAGGTGGAGTCTAAGCTGTGGGTGTCATACTGGCATTGCCAATAACTACAGCTTAGAGAAAGAAGGGTCATACTGCCGCAGGGCCCTGACTGTAAATGGTGCTTCTATTGCTTTAAAGACTAGATAATTTCATTCCACTTAAGTCAGCAGACTAGAAATATATGTAATGATCCTCTCTTCACCCTCCAGGGTGTGAGCAAGAATGGTTCCAAGACCAAGTTTTCTGGCTGCCATAAAGATTTAAAAAGAAGAGTTTAAATCTGTGTGCAAGAATATTGGAGGTGCTATTAATGCTTTTTTTGAGCTTCAGGAATGCCCTTTGACATCCTCCATCTCTATTCCAAGAAAGTAATACAGCTATTTCAACTTAAATAACTGAAACCAATTCTTACTTTTGCAGCAAGTGTGAAGAGATGATTTTAACACTGTGTTGCCCACATAAAGCAAAATTTAGCGGCTGATGTAAGGAATGCCTTGCCACAGTGCTCCTGATTTTTTTTTTTTTTTTTTGGTGCTTTTTTTTTTTTTTTTTTTTTGAGTGACAGGAAAGTTTATTATTTTTTCTTGTATTTTAAATGTGGTGAGTTTTTGTATGCTTTCTCTATTTCAGAAATATATATATATACACATATATATAACTTAGTCTATTATTAGCACTTTGGGATATTGTCTCCACAACATCTGCAATAGAAACTTTAGCTCTGCCTCTGTTTGTCCCTCAAAATATGATTCAGAGTATGACAACTGGATCTAAGCACCAACATAGAATTAGTGAGAGGGCATTAATATAAAACTAATCTACATCTTTTCCCCTAAATCTCTTATAATATGTCAGAGCTTGCAACTTACTATGCACTATATGGAAAATAGAAAATAAGAGTCAAAGAGTTAATAAAGAAAGTATAATAACAGATACAGGGACTAGCAGAAAAGTGAGAACATTTAAAATGTATTAACAATTAAAGGAATTGTACAATGACAATTCAATCCTATTAGTTTTGCTGCAGTAATATTAAAAAAAAAAAAAAAAAAAGAAATTTATTACTTGATATTTCTGTCCCTGAAATAAGGAGTTTCAGTTTTCAGTTGTGTGGGTTTTGGGAGAGCAGCATCACAAGTTTCTGCTTAATATAAAGCTCAAAATATTTAAAACAAGTATCTGTGCAACCTTTGATTCTGTTCAGTAGATCTCCCTTGCAATCCAACCAGAGAGCAAGGTACACCCTCAAGTTCGGGGAAAATTTTGTATGTTCTGAAGCTTAAGTAGATTAGTGAAAAATGAAAAACACCATGTAAATATATCTATCACATCTTGTCACAACTGAAAAAGTAAATCATTTGCTAGATCTTTGCTGATCCATAACAATTCTAAGCTGTGTTTTGACACAGATTGAAAGGTATAGTTTAATAATTTTATTCTACTTATAGATTGCACTGTAATATTTCTGTATTTCACAGGCTAGTTGAGTAACCTGAACTACTCCAACATATTAATTAATATTAGGAGAATCCATGAAAAAAAATATATACACCTCTTTAAAGTGGTTTCCCAATATATATTTTACAACCTTCTTCTATTTTCACTCATGGATTCTCTCATTCCTTCTGAAAAGAACATACAAACAAGCAGAAAAGACTCCAGGAATTCAGTCCCCAACTGCTGTTCTTACAATTTTATTTTAACAAAATAATAACATACTACTTAAATTTCGTTTTTGAAATTTAATTTCATTAATATGCAGTCATTTTTTGGATTTTCTTTTCTTCCTATTGGAATAATCTGGATCTTAAAGTATTGCCACTGCTGCTTCTTTCAGCCCTCCATCCATCCCTTTCCTCCTGCCTCTCCCACTGTAACCAATTTTTGGAAGGCTTAGTGGCTAATTGGAGCCAGCTGTAGAGATTTTCCTCCCACGTGACAGTTTACTCTGTCACAACCCACCATTCAAAAATTCACAAGAAGATTCGGGCAGGAGCAGTGAGTAACCCTTGTAGTCCTCTACAGAAATTTCCCCAGATTGTTCTCTTGGCTTATTCTGTTTTTCAGCAAAGCAACCACTAATGAAACTACTGCCGCCTCTCATATTAACCACACATAGTTCCCAATCAATCTGCCATCTTAACTCTACATTAGTTTTTTCCTATGGAAAGCATTTTTGCATAGCTGAGGCATTTTTCTCATGGTATAACGCAGTCTGAGCCCTCCTTGGTGACAAATATTATATCTGGCAAGAGACCATTTGGCCACCTTCATGTAGAAGCTCTGTTATACAAGTAACTCTTTTAGTTCTTGTCTAGGAAGAAGATTTTTTCATGGTACCTGTTCACTACCTCATTGCTTGCTGGTTGAATGGAATTGTGAGCATGTAATAATAATACATCTTCCTAGGCCTCAAAACAATCTACGTATTTGTAAAGGATTATAAGTGCATAAATCCTCCCCTCAAAAATATCATTAATAACAGATACTGCATTGAGACATCATAAATTTCTACATTCTTAAATCTGTCTATGATGTTGAAATTAAAAATATCAGAGGAAAATGTGAAATTTTACTTTTTTATTGTCTTGTAAACTATGAATTTTTACTTTTGACAATGAGGATTTAAGTCATTTCATATTTTCTAAGATATTAAAAATATGAGTGCTATTATAAATAAAAATTTAAACATCTGAAATGAATGTATTTATAGTGACATGTGGATTCTATATTATAAAGGAACAGTTGCTTGATTTTCACATGGATCTGTTAATAACCTAATAATGTAACTGTTGTCTATCAAATTTTTATACAATATAAACTAAGAGCAAGAAGATCTGTTCTGATCTGTTTAGCAAGAAAGTGCTGTGCTTCAATCATCATGCGCACCTCCATGGAAAGAGATGAGTATGATGAAGAATATCCATGGGAGATACTTCTTATTTGTAGAAATAGGTTGGATTCCTTCCACATGAGTCATAAGAAAACAATTGTGTCCCCATAGCATCGAGTTCAAAGCCCAAAAGAGACAATTAAATAATCTGACTTGTTATATATTACAGTCCAAACAACCCAAACAATCATGTTTATATAAAAAATATCTACACTGAAGGCCCAAAGCTGGGTGGATCATTCAGTACTGGAGTTAGTGCAAGCCAGGCTACCTAGACTTTGGTGTGCAAACTGTGAGGGGGAGAGAAAGAAAGGATAGCATCAGCGACTGTTTTCACTGGGGATTCCTGTTTTATTACCCCTGCAGGGTCATTCTAGCAATTATGTATCCACTATGTTAAAATTTGGTGTCAAATTTCTAATTTGAATTTAAATAATTTCTGATTTTAGCTCACAGCCAATCTTTTTTTTTCTTTCTTTCTTTTCTTTTCTTTTTTCTTCCCCGCCCCCCCCCCCCCAACCACTTACATGGTGTAAGGCTGTAATCCTATGATTTTTGGTGGTGGTACAAGATAAATTGCAAATATAATTGGGCTACCTGTGCAACAGATAATCTTTTTTTTTTTTTTTTTTTTTTTTTTTTTTTTACCTAATAATTTACTCATCTTATTTAGGTTTGATGATTTAAAATTTTTATTGCTGCTAGGTGTAGCTTTTCATTTACTAATGGACCATCAGTCAAACCGTGCATGTATTGTCAAGCCAATTAGCAGGATTACTTGAATCAGGAATCAGAAATTATGAATAATAGTAGATAATGCAAGTATACTAAAGGGCCATAACAATGTCTTACATTGACATAACAACATCAGTTTGAAAGGTAATCAAATCTACATATATATATTTAAAAGAATATCTGCATGAAGATTTCTCTTATTTGGCCACTTTGAAGAGTTTTCTCTACTGACTATTGGAATTACATGATCATGATCTCCAATAAATAGAATGAGTTCAGAATTAGTGATGTAAAAACTGCACTTTTGACATAATTGCATTCAACCATCCACCCTCTTCTTGTGTAAATACGGTGAACCTGCTAAATTGCAAAGTTGAGACAAGTTATAGGCGTTAGCTGTGCTCTGAGTACTAGTATTAAACGTCTTGCTGAATCCATAAGTCCACATGCTTCCTCAGAGCTATTCTACAAATAGGATGACAAAAAGAACTTTTATGATATGATATGATATGATACGATATGATATGATTTTATTTTATTAAATAAAAAAACTTTTATTTGGGCAAGAGTAACTGATTATGTACTCATTCTTAAAGGATCAACAGTAGCTAATGTATTATAAGAAACGATAAAAGCAATTGGGAAAAGAAATGTCAGGATAGCCAGAAAAATAACTGGACAAAGGTGATGTTTTTGCCCTCAGCAAAGAAAAGACAGCATAGCAAAGTGTTGTAACAATCATAACATCTTCCAGATTCTGCCTAAGAACAAAGTCCTTGTCTATATGATGAAAGATCACATGAAGTTAAAGGGCGGATTCAGAGAGAAGAAAGGCACATATGACTAATCACAACCATCTGTAACATTTTTGATAAAAGGAGGGCAGTATAATCATACATGGATCATGTGTTCAGCTTCTCAAAAATTATGACACCATCTGACTTGACCAGTTCCAGGCATCCAGATGTGGGAACTCTAAGCTCTCTCACTGAACTCATCACAAATTTCTGTCAGCAACAGCAGAGAAGAGTGTGAATAGAAAGACTCCACAGCAAATGGTTTTCTGTCAGACAGAGGATGAGAAAAGGATTCAGCATGTATGTAGTACTTCTGGAACAAGTGTGGGAAAAATTTGTAAGAACAGAAATTGCTGGGTCTGCTATTTTTTGACATCTCTAAAATAACTTCAGATACACTAATGGAATGACAGACCAACACTGTAAATGTAACTTACTCCTAAATGTGATGAGAGTAGAAAGAAATTAATTGAACGTGTTTGTTGACTCATCAAAAAGGAAGCAGGCAAAAATCTTTATCTAGTTCTTCACAAAGTGAATGACTAAATATTGAGGATCTGAAACATGACTTCTCCCTCATCTTTCCTGCATGTTTTTATATATGTATGCATAAAGATTAAGAATACTTCTTCTATGGAGTCTTAAGAATACTTCATTCTTCTGTGAAGTCAGTCACAAAAATGCAAAAGATTTTGGTATCTTAAATTGTTTATAGCTTTGATTTCTGAAAAACTTCTTTTTCTTTTCTTCATTTTTTCTCCCCCAAATTTGTTAATGAGTATTCATCATGGAAATTTAACTACTGCTGATAGAACATCAGTTCAAACTTAGTTATAGCTGGAGATTACAACATTTCTGCTGTAGTGTCATGTGAAACTATAGCACATGTGGCATGGTTTCTTTTCTCCCAGATCCTCTCTGCTTTTTAGTAGGTATTCAATTTGAACACAGGGTCATCAATGTATTCATCTCACAGACCCTTGAGGGGCGTAGTGGCTTTCTTTGTGGATATCATCAGGTGTTTCAGGTTTTTTTTACTCAACAAGGCTTTCTTTTGGAAGGGATTTGTCTTTTAGGTGTCAAGGAAAAGCAAACAGCTTCCACACTGTAGGCAAACCACACTCTTTTTCACACCAGTTGATGTCAGTAGGGTTCACAGCACAGAGGAAAGGATGTTACTGCTTTAGTGACTTACCTACAGGCAGGGTAGAAGCGTGAGCTCAAAATCACTGTCTTACCCTTCACATACATGATGGAGGAGATGACACTACTACTTTCTGACTGTTCAACTTTGCCAGTAGCTTAGAGGTTTTCTGAGATTATGGAATATATGAAATATTTCACTCAGCAATTCTACCTAAGATGGCAGAGTTTGCCATTCACTGCATTCTTGACCTACAAGAATTGAGAAATTACTAGAATGGGGTATAACTGAAAGTGCATAGCGAAAGAACCATAGAATCATAGAATTGCTCAGGTTGGAAAAGTCCTTAAAGATCATCAAGTCCAACTGCAACCTAACCATAGTACCCTAACTCTAACGGCTCACTGCTGAATCCTGTCCCTGAGCACATTTTGATGATTTATAATTCCAAGAATTCAGTGTAAGAATGAGTTTATCTGTTAGGAAAGGTATCTAAGGGTATATAAAACCAGAGAATTATTTCATGAAGTATTTCAATGCATTTTACATTAATCTTTTTTTTGTATATGTGAAATAAATATGAATAAAATATGATGCTTGAAATCTTCACTAAACAACTTTTTTTTTTTTTTTTTTCTCTTTCTTTCTTTCTGCTTTCAAATTAATCATAACTTTCCTTTGGTTACTTTTGAGGTCTCAGGGAATAACAGGAATGTCACTAGTGAAATTTTAAAATTCACAGGAATTATGTCAGAACATTATATTACTTAATGAAAAACAATCTATGTGAAAGAATATCTTTTTCTGAGACAAAACTTGTATAACTCGATTTACACTGTTTTAGCTAGATTGAAGAAGGCTTTCACATATTTTGAGCACTTTGGATTTTGAACCTCAGTAGGTGGGTCAAAAAATAAGTTTTCTGTAATATTTGCCTGAAGATTCAAAGCAGAATTGTCAGCTATTGTCAGGCTTTTTTTTTTTTCCACTATTCTGTTTTTCAGGGTTATTCCAATGAGGGGAAGAACTTAAATATCGTAATATATTATTATTATTATTATTATTATTATTATTATTTACCTCTGCACTACAGGGTTTTACAAAGAATATCCATTTTTATTCTTCTCCTTATTTCAGCTGGGATTAAGTTGACTTTTCCTTCATAGTGCTTAATAGGATGCTATGTTTAGAAGAAAAATAATGTAGATAACACACCAATGTTTTGGTTGTTACTAGCAGTGTTGGTCAGAACCAAGGATATTTCAGTTCCTCAGCTTCTCACACTGTCCTGGTGGGGGGGAGGGGGCACTGAGGGGGCTCAAGGAGTTGGGAGAGAATAGAACCACAGCATCTGACCTAATCTGGCCAATGGGATATTCCATACCATATGAAATGAAGAAAACACCTTGAAAAAGTTTGGAGAGTTGTTCTGATGGGCAGCCACTGTTTGAGGACTGGCTGGGTGCTGGTTGGTGGATGGAGAGCAATTGCCCATGCTTATTTCATCTTCCTTTTCTGTCTTAGTAAATAGTTTTCTTGTAATTCTTTCTCATCTCACTGCGAGGGTGGGGAGAACAAGTAACTGTGTGGTGCTTCCTTGCCTTTCCCTTTTCCCTTTTCCCTTTTCCCTTTTCCCTTTTCCCTTTTCC